CAGGCCAATGTGGAAATTCAGCCGTGCATATGTACATCTGCAATCAAGAGAAGAGGCCCGAGAAGAATAGAAAACACTCTCAAGTTGACATGACATGGATTGCGTTCAAAGACACAGGACTGGATAAAGCCATCAAGAACATGAGCATATGAGGCACCTTTGTGTATAGGCTTCATGGAGCTGCCACTGCCAGCACCAAATGGGCAGTCATTGAGGGCACACTGGTGACACCTGCTTTCATCTGAACAAAAATGGTATCTTAAATCCTAAGTGATCACAGGAACTATTTCATGATTGAAATACGACACAAATCTTCCCAGACCTCCTGTCTCACATCACTGGGCATCTCTTCTGACAATCAGGAGGTTGTGACTATTAATAATATCGTGTTTAGTATAATAATCAACATTGGAATTTCCCACTGCAGTAGAAATTCTTACATTGCCTCTATTTTTCCTTAGTGGTTAAAAATTTTGGCAGAAGATAGCCATGAGGTTTGGGGGGTTTGTAACTCAATTGCAGAGCTCCTGAACATGCACGTTGAGGGGAACAATGTAGTGGTATTGCAATAGAAACTGGTTGAACATGCCTGATGGAAAAGTCGATTCCTTTCTAGATAAACTAGAAAAGCAATGTGCTAAGAAAATAATTAAGTCTCAATGTCTATGTCCTTAAAATGTGATTGTTAACACCAACACCAGAGGGCAAGTGACAGGGCTGATCCCGTAGTCAGAGATGTAGAGACAGGTGTCTGTCAGGTAGTGGCAAGCCCTCAGACACCTAATCCTCCATACCTCCACCAGTGGCCCCAAACACTTCAAACCCTGGCTGTGAGAACTTTGGGACTCTTTGGGGGACTTGGAATGATTGACATAATTGGAGGCTGGGAAAATAGGCAATAAAATGCTTGCCACCTTGGGGGACTTGAGTTTGATCCCCAACATCTGTGTAAAAGGAGAGATACAGGGATGTGTGCCTGTAACCAGCAGTGCAGAGGCACGGACAGGAGGATCCTTGGAGTTCACTGGCAAGCTTGTCTAGCCTAACTTGTCACTTCAGGTTCAATGAGAGATTCCGTCTCAGAAAACAGGTGGAGAGCAATGGAGAAAGACTATTGCAATCCCACCTGGGCACATCTGCACCTGCCCATGCACCCCCACACATGCACACACACGGGAACATGCATATACACGCACAAAAGACATGATGAGTGGCATTTCTGTTGTACACAGAGGACTCGCAAGCCTGCTTTTGGATGTGCTACTGGGCACTCACGTGGACTGCAGCCCTGCTCTAGGTGTCTTCGCGGGAACACAAGGTGTATTTGCCCTGTTTCGCTGCTCTTCAAATTTCAGTGATCATGCAAATTGTGGGAAAAATGCTCCTTCCACTGGGGAAAAACCCTGCCACAATGCCTTTCATGAGTCAAGCCATCTTCGTCGCTGAACACCTGGATGAACCAGCCTGTTATGTGTGTAACAGTGCCCTCGTGAGTAAAGACATGCCCACATATTTGTCCTTCAGTCCAACATAAAGAAATATCTTCAGCAAAAGCATGTGTATAGGCTGGAGTAATGATCAGTCAGGGAAACTCATACCATACAACCATGAGGATCTACAATCAACCCCCAAGATTCCATGGAAATCCAGGCACAGCCGCACACACTTGCAACTAAATGATGGAGAGGTGGGAGGCAGTCAGACACACGTTCTCACCCACTCGTACCTCTATCCACACATGAATGTGCACACACACAGAGTGTTCTTTCTGTTAACACTGCTGTATCATGTGAGCCTCTGATAACTTCAGATTTTTAGAATGGAAGAACCAGATATTTGAATATAATACATGGAATTTTACCAAATAGAATTTCCTTTTCATTAGACTCAAGACCTTTGCTCGCTTCAAGAAAGGTTGCATATGTAGCTTTTTGGCTCCTGTGTATTGTTGATACATACTCCTCTCTCAGATACATAGAGAGGGAACTTTCTTCCACTCTGCAGAGCTGGCTCTTCATGCAATGAACTGTTGATATACAGAAAGGTGATTGTTAATTCCTAAACGACCGAAATCCTAATCAGAAAGTGCCTGTATCTCGGGAGTTTTTTGCCTTGTATAGGAAATGGACAAAACCAGAGATAATCACATGGACTGAATTAAGCCAGTAACAGAAAGACAGATGTTATTTTTTTCTTGCTTGTGACTTCTATATTTTACATAAGTACATAAAAGCGTTTGTATATAATATTGAAGCAGAAGGGAACTGCAACTGCATGGGGAGGACTGTTGTGTAACAGTTTCCTCTGGGATTAAAACATTCCATCCTGCAGGGGAGCTCCTTAAGCAAGGATGTAAACAACTAAAAATAGATTCAAGAGCCCCCTGCAGTCGACCAGATTCACTAACCCTGTCCATGGCAGAGTAAGCAAAACCTAGCTGCAATGCAGACTCTAAGACAAGACAAGCTGTGAAGACTCACAGACCAGACCGGCTGCTTAGAAGGAGAAATCAGTCCACGGAAAGGTTGAGACACACTGAGGCACCTGAAAAAGACACATCTCAACCTGTAGGGTGGCCTGCAGGCTGTGTGGCGCTCCAGCTTCCCAGCACTGGGGAGCTGTCACACACGCTGGGGTGGGTGTTGGTGATGCAGCTGTCTTTGAGTCATTTCTAGTTCCTGTAAGTAACCCTCGCCCATATTCCTGTAGATAAGCCCCCCAAAAGTCATTGGTTTAGCAAGTTGGACTTGGATGGTATCTGTACTTTGGTCTGTGGTGGGCTCCCTGTCTGGGATGAGAACATGTGTATGCTGCATCACCCCAGGAAAAGCTTTGTCTTACAAAAAGGGCAAAGGGGGTTAATGGGTGGGTGGGGGAGGGGAGAGATATGGAAGGGAAGGAAGTCGGGGAAATGAGCTCGACATATAATATTTATGCATAAAATTTTTAAAAATATCAAATTTATTTTAATAATGCATGTAGGAATTAGTGGTGCCAGGTGTAAGTTCTACTTAGGCTTAGTAAAGCAAAGTTAGAACCGAGTTCTTGCAGCCTATTGGTTCCCATGGCACTAGGGCTGTCCTGGGCTAATCCATCCAGGATTCATTTCTATCAGAAATCTGTTTTAATATGTGGTAGGTGGGATTGGCTTGCAACAGGGGACAAACTAAGATAGACTGAGGAGATAAGGTTAGATATTTAGCTGGATCAGAACAGCCACATCAGTGTAAGTCTCATGTCAAGTCTAAGTGTCTGTAGAGAGAATGATTCCACCTGTTGGGGTCTGAGCTCTCAGGGGCAAGGGAGCCCTCTCAGCAAGGTTTCTCATTTATATGTGAATGTCTCTCCAAGAGCAGACAAATAGACACAGCTAGAAATGGTCACATGCAGCGAATGTCAATCACAGAAAGACAGATATCATATGTTCAGAAAATAAACGGTTGAAGATAAATAAATGATTTATCTTTGTTTATTTCTGTGGGGTTGGCATGTTCACATGCATAGAGGTGCCTGAGAAGGCCAAAAGAGTGCATCAGATCCCTGAACCTGGAGTTACAGGGGGCTGTGAACTTCCTCATGTGCTGGGAACAGATGTCAAGTCCTCTGTAGGAGTAGCAAGTGCTCTTAACAATTGACATCATCTCTCCAGATCTGGTGCACTCCTAAAATGAAGAAAGAATATTCATACAAATGGATATTGTCTGTATTTGTCTTCACAGACATAATCCTCACCTTGTGGTCACATAATTAGTGCCCAAGAAAGAGTGATGGACGTACATCAGCATGATCTCAAATACTAAACACACCTCATGTCTAGGAAGGAGTTTGTAGGTTGGGTTAGTTGAAGTGAGAATATCCACTCTGAATGCAGGTGTCACCATCGAATGGCCTGGGGTTGTAGACGGAATAAACACAGAACAGCTCATCACCTGCACCTATCTCTCTCTCTTCTTCCCGGGACAGACGCAGTGTGACCAGTTGCCGCCTGTTCCTGCTGCCGGACCACCCCAAATGGACTGTCTCCTGGAACTGTGGACCAGAGTAAGCCCTTCTTCCCTTAAACTGCTCTTGCTGGCTATTTTGCCGCAGGAGTGAGAAGTGAAACTAATCTGAGACTATGTGACTTGTCCACCTCTGTGTGCCCCATTCCTAGAGCAGGCCTTCCATGTGACAGCCATACGGTGAATGCATGCAGAACAGCTGAACTATTTCCTGCGTGCACTGGGTCCCTGTGAACAGCAGGCCTTTCCTTCTGCAGCCAGATGGGGGATGCAGCAAGTTCTCCTTGAAGGTTAAATGTGATATAGCTCATCATTAAGAAAATTAAATTATGCTCTTAGATGAGCCATTTCCTCCCTCACCACACAGCCTCACCTGGTGTCTCTCTGTACTGTTTCTATTCTCTGACTGATCTTCACCCTGCCCACTTGCTCTCACATTGGAAAGTCAGCCATGTCTCCAGCAAGCTGACTCAGGGCTTGAACACGTGCCGTACACAGCCACCGTCCTCAAAGACACAAGGCAATCAGCATACCCTGAGATAAGGTATCCTCCTTCCCAGTCTGAGGTCCCTGGAGCAGATTTGCACTTTATTTTTTTTAACAAGGTCTGTGTTAAATACATTCTAAATCCAAATAAATTTTGTATCTCTGAAACATTCTTAGGAGCACCCAGACCATAATACCTTACCAATTCCCATTTCTTGTTTGTTTGTTTGTCTGTTTGTTGAGATAGGATTTCTCTATGCAACAACTCTGGCTGTCCTGGAACTAGCTCTGTAGACCAGGCTGGTCTCGAACTCACAGAGATTCATCTGCTTCTACCTCCCTGTACTGGGATTATAGGTATGCACTATGACGATCCAGCCAATTCCATCTGTTACACTCAGGTTTTTCAGTAAGTAAAGTCTTTGGATGGAGGCAGCCCCTGGGTGACTGTGGCCCTGTCCTCATCACTTCTCCCTCCAACTTCGTATTCTTTCCTTACTCCCACAGTGACCTGTGACGAGCCTGGGCCAAAGCCAAACTGCTTTTTTCATATTGTGACATAACCTTTTTCTGTGTGCATTGGGCTGGTGATAGTCACTGTGGTCAGAAGCTTTCTGCGTGTTACAAGCATGCTGCCGCTTCCTTGCAAGAATGCCTGACTGTGTCATGGCCTCCAAGGAATGGTTACATTAAAAGTAAGCTTCTGGCTAGGTGTGGTGGAGTTCACCTTTAGTGCCAGGATGTGGGAGGAATGGACAGGAGGGGCTCTGTGAGTTCAAGGCCAGCCAGGGCTACATAAGGAGATCCTGTCATTCACACACATATTGTATGTATGATATATTATTCTTTATAGAACATTAAATTCTGATATTTTATCTCACCTTTCACTCATTGCCTGTAAAGTGATTATTAAGATTAGCAGTTATGAGTGATATAAAGATAATCTATCATGAATCCTGCAGTCGGGTAGCTATATGTCCCACAGATAAAGTATGTAAAAGTAGCATAAATACAATGATGTCTCAAGATAAATAAATGCTGTGAGACAAAAGTAAAGGATTTTAAAATGCTATTGCTCACTGGAAGTAGAGACAACAGCATAAAGCAGGAACAGGGCTGAGGGAAAGAAAAGGAAGTTACTTTAATTGACAGGTAATTAGAGCAATGTTTTATAGCCTGAGGGACCCATTTGCCTGCTTTTCCTTAAACAACAGGAGCAGCTCCCCTGCCTCTGGAGCTCAGCCCATTACCCACTCCACCATGGCTCAGTGCAGAACTGACTCAGACCTGTGAGTACAGGAGAGAAGAGAAACATGTAACAATGCAGCTGAGACACTGAGGGAAAAGGACAGAAATCTGGGCACTCCATGCTGGGAGGAGAAGAACCTGAAGCCCCGGTGGCAGAGGAAAAACAGCTGGAGGTGGAACTGACTCAGGAGAATCTGTGTCTGCGGGTAAAGCAATGAGAGAAACAGAGTGTTCGGTTCTAAACAGAGCATCGCTGTTAATGCTACCGCCAGCAAGGCTCCGTGAACATCACCAAAGAATGGAAGAACGTGGGAGCCACAGGGTGGGGAGCAGTGCTATGAAATCCTGTTTTCCGGGCTCATCATGATCACCGGGGTTATGAACGCACTGTAGCTATGGTTCCGTGAACCAGACCTATGTATGATCAGTGCAGCCAAAATCCCGGATAGATGACTGCCAGATCCCGTGCTATACTCAGTGATGAATGTGATGGAGTAGAGAGGGTCATTTTATTGTTGAGTGTATGGTTGCTGGTAGTTTCCCAGGCCAGTGGGTGCCCCCCCCGCACATAGGCAGCATTAACTGGACTTAGTGATTATTTACAAAAAGAAGCATGAAATTGGAAAGAGCATTATAAGAGATATGGGGGAAGTTAGAGCGGAACTGAGTGATAGGTGCAGACATATTTTCTTATATACATGGGTAAAATTCTCAAGAAATTTAAATATTAACACGAAAGAAACCAATGACAGAGAAAAAGACTAGAAGAAATTGCTACCACTAAGGGCTGCATATAAGGAATAAAGCGTGGTGGAAAATGTAAGTGACCCACAGGTGATCACGCTCATTACCCATGAGCCAGTGCTGCTGAGCTAACCTTCCTAGGCCACTGGCCCACTTACTTGGTTGGAAGTACTTTCTTATAATAAACTGAGTAACGATCAACTCATTCCAGTCTGATTCATTGCTCCACAACACAAGAACCTGGAGATCTCAGGGGGTGCCCTCCAGACACCAATATCTCCCTGTAACAGAACTGTCTACTCAGACATTTCCCAGTACCTTATCTCTCAGCTGAAGTCACATATACAGCTTCCTGGCTTTGTGTTGCACCTTTCTGTGACATGTAACAATTGTACAGACATAGCAGAGATAATCAGAGCATTTTTCTCTACTCAGTTCTGGCCCAAACTGTCAATAAATCCATTTTTTTTCTCCAGGTCCTGCCTCACGATCTTTTGATAAAGCCAGGAGTTGAGCTAAGATTCTAGTGACAGGGGGAAGGTAGAGTTGGAGATGACATCATGGTCCTTCATAGCCTAGCACATTGCCCTCTCAGAAAAAGTCTCAGAGATAAATATTCTGCCTTCTCAAACCCTGAAATAAGGTCCATTTGCTCCCAGAGTATAAGAGATCCTGTCTCCTTGATGGAACTGTTGGAGTTAAGTAGTGACCAGATAAGCACATTCTATGGCATGGAGAGGACTCTTAGTCTGGTGAAGATCTTGCCTCTGTAAGCATGAGAACCTGTGTTGGGATCCCCACAGCCATGTAAAAAGTCATGCATGGCAGTGTGTGCCTGTAATTCCAGCCCTGAGGATACTTGAATGTAGTCCTGATCCATACTTGGCTCATACTGTGAACCAAAATAAATGCTTGAGTCTTTGTCGCCTTTGTTGGGCATTTTGCCACAACCAATAAGTAAAATAGCTACTGCACCAGTCTTTCCTGGGGACTGGCCACCCGAGACTTTCTCTGTGGGAGACTCTGTTCAGTAGACCCCAAATTCTTCTGACAGAGACCAAGAAAGGAACTCATCAGGTGGCCATATGTTTCTTTCTCGAGGACCCTGAGGTCATGGTTTTGGTTGGTTTGCTTTTCTGACTATTACACAGCTCTACTGTCCCTCGAGTCAGCCCACTAGAGGGGTGGCCCCAGCTCCTCACCTGCTCCAGCCTCGGTTCTCTCCCTTCCCTGTCTTGAGCTCAGTTCCAACAACATCAAAGGGAGGGAACTTGAGCTCTCCCTTCATCAGGACACTTACCGCTTGAATTCTGAGCCTTTTGTGGTACTATCCCTTTGTTCTACAACATTCTGCCACCTTTGTCTGTCAAAAAGATGCTGTCTCTAATTCAAAATTTCCTGTTTTCCTTACCCAATGCTATCTTCATTTGTTGATTTTTTTTTAAACTTGTTGTTTTCTTGTCATGTTTTGAAAGGGCTGTGAGCTCTTGTAGTGGAAGGCTATATGTGACATCTTTGCTTCCCCAGGACTTGGCATTTGGCCAGTAGAATTTGGCAGAAAATGTTCATTCCACGTTTGTATGATTCTAAACTCTGATGCTGAAAATTTTGGAAAGTTGCTCTGGCCACTCCTGTTAAATGAGTTATTAAGGGCCGGAGCCTGGACCCTGACAGCCCTAAAACGGCAAGCTCAGCCACTTGTTCTCAAAGGGCCAACTAAAAAGATGGGGTAATAGTGAAAAACAGAGAAAGGATACGTATTAAATATGGTCACAATGAGAACAAAGAGGTACGGTGGCCCCCAAGTCTGTCTTCAGGCTATCATCGTGAAGTTTAAGTTGGATTGAAGAGAAGAAGATAGGAATAACTTAGCAGGTTGGTCAAGGTAACGTACGTGCTGCCCATCACTACCCCATCACTGTTAACTCTGGTCTCTCCTGGAACATGGTGGTCTGAGAAGTTGTCAGATTGTGTGAAATCTCTTCCTGGGAGATGAGCTCCCCATCTTACTGGAGCCAGGCTTCTGCCTTTCTTCCTTCCAGCCAGAGTTCTTCCTGCCGGAGGACTCTCTGATCTATCAGTTCTGATGTATGAGGTTCCCTCATGGTCTCCCCTCTTGTAGTGAGGAAGCTGGAGGCCTAGCACACCCTGAACAGCTTTTATTTATGTTTAATTCTGACAGCATCGTTGTCTGTTAGCAGGGGCTTCTGTAGATTGTTCTAATTCATAAGCCCTTTTCCACTACAAGGGGGCTAGCAGGGTCTGAAGTTGGAGGTGGATGGGCAAAAGGAGCCAGCTCTGTAGCTTGTGGGGCTGTTTGTGTTCTCATGGGGTGTTAGGAAGGCACTGGTCCCTGTCTGGGGCTTGAGATCAGTGCTGGTTAAAAGCCAAGGGTTAGCCTTCCCGGCTTTGCCCCCCACAGCTCTTGGCTCTACTCTATAGGGTCTAGAAACTCTTATATTGAACAGTGAATTTTTCAACAGGGCAAGGCCAGTAAACAACAGTGAAGAGCAGTGGTTCTCAACCTGTGGGTCTCGACCCCTTTGGGGGCTACATATCAGATATTTACATTATGATTTGTAACAGTAACAAAATTACAGTTACAAAGTAGCGACGAAATAATTGTATGGTTGGGGGTCACCAGAGAATGAGGAACTGTATTGAAGGGTCACAGCATTCACGGGATGGTTGAGAACACCTGGTGTTGAGGAATCCACCCTAGCTTTAGTGTACAGAGGTGAGCAAGAAGATATCACAGTGGAAAAACAACAACAACAAAAAAAAAAAAACCTCAAACTTAGTGGAGAAACAAGATTATTTACAATGCAGAAGTTTCTGTTTTTCTTTTTCTTAAGGAACCATGTAACCAGAAGAAAAAGCAAATGACTACTTGTTTTTTCCACTGCTTAAAAAACATTCTTCTGTTTTATTATGGGGAGCCTACCAGAGGTGCCCACTCAGACACAGTCTATAGCCAATTGGAAGTCTTTATTCTCAAACTAGAATAGATCATTTTGGAAGAGAGAACCCACACTGATAAAATGTCCCCAACAGACTGGCATGTGGGGGAAGCCTACAGTACAATTTCTTGGTTAATATTTGATATGGGCAATGTCATCCCTGACTGTTGGTCCTGCGTGCTAAAGGACAGCAAGTTGAGCAAGCCAGCAGGAGCAAGCCAGAGAGCAATACTCCTCCATGGCCTCTGCTTCAGTTCCTGCCTCCAGGTTCTTGCTCTGCTTGAATGCCTGCTCTGACTTTCCTCAGGGATGAACTGTCACCTGGAAGTCTAAGTGGAATAAACTTTTATAGTGATATTTTGTTTATGTTTTAATAAATAAAGTTTGCCTGAAGATCAGAAGGCAAAATTAAGCCACTAGAGGCCAGGCAATGGTGTCACACATCTTTAATCCCAGGATTTGGAAGACTGAGGCAGATGGATCTCTGTGAGTTCAAGGCCACCCTGGGCTACACAAGACCAATGCAAAAACAGATCCAGGTGGTGGTGGCTCTCACCTTTAATCCCAGTACTGGGAAGATGCATGCCTTTAATCCCAACACTAAAGACGGGAGAAGACAGAGGCTAGGGGCTCAGTCTGCAGTCGCCCCACTTTGGTAGAGATAAGACTTCTCCAGTGGTTTGGTTGTTTTGCTTTTCTGATCTTCAGCTTGAGCCCCAATATCCGTCTCTGGGGGTTTTGTTTTGTTTTGTTTTGTTTTTTGTTTGTTTGTCTCTGGGTTTTTAATATCAGTGCTAAAACCCCTCTCCTCCCCAAGCTGCTTTGAATCATGGTGTTTTACCAGCATTAGAAACCCTGAGACAGACATGTTCCATCATGACAGGGAGGGTATGACGGCAGAGTATGAGATGGCTGGTCACACTGCATCCACAGCTAGGAAGCAGAAAAAGATTGATGCCGCAGCCCAGCCTGTGACATGGTGCCACCCCACATTTAGGGTGTGTTTTCCCACCTCAACTAACCCAGCCTACAAACCTCCTCATCCACATGCCCAGAGATTGGTCTCCAAGACCTTACTAGATCCTGTCAAGTTGGCCATCAGTGTTCGCCATCATGTCAAGGTCAGGCCCAGGTCCAGGAATCATCTGAGTGAAGCAGAAACCAGTTCCCTTAGAGGACATGCTGTACTACCTCACCAAAATCTACCTTCAAGATCTCTTCAAACGAACAATGGCCACTTCCCAAAGCGAACGTGCAGTAGGCAAAAGAAACTGGACACTCACAGACTTTTGACACAGGTGCTGACTGACCCCAGGAGGACCATGTCTCACTGAGTTCCTCTAGTCAGAGTGGGGCTTTTGGAGAAAGGGGGCCATGGCATGCTCAATCCTTGAGGAGTTCCGTCAGTCCCCAGAACCATGCTGCCTCTTGATTGTCACCTTGGCTACATCTGGAATTAGCTAAAACCCAAGAAGCTGGTCTTGTGAGGGATTTTCTTAATTATTTAAACCAGGGAAACACAGCCCACGTCTGGGTTATGCCGTTTGGAAACAGCCCACATAAAAGGACCTGGAAGAATGGGGCTTTGCGCTTTTGCCTCTGACCCTCACTCTCACTAACAAGGTCATCTCCCCTGTTGCTTCCGCCGGTATTAATTCCAACTTCTGCAGGATTTCAGTGGAGACCAGCGGATCTCCAGGAACCCTTCTCGACTTCAGTATCAGATTGAACCACAGGGCATTGCAGACTCAACAACAGCGGGACTCTCAGCCTTTGTGGGATAGATTGAGCCACATCCTGTAAGCCACTCTGATCAATCAACCCATTGACCTTCCCTTTAGAAGGGCAACCTCAGTGTACCCTAGGCCTCATTCATTCTATCAGCTCTGTTCCTTTAT